TAATTCAACTTTTGAAAGATAATGCTAACCTGTTCACTTGAACACCGTCTGATATGCCTGGTATTGATACCAAAATGATGGTTCATAGGCTGTATACTAACTCCAAGGTAAAAACCAATTTAGTAAAAGAAAAAAACGTTTACCCTAGAAAAATAGAAGGCCATTAAGAAGGAGGTCGATAGATTACTTTAGTGGGCTTTATCAGAGAGGTCCATTACCTTAAATGGATGATAGTGTCAAGCATGACCTCCTTAGTTTTGTGGATGATAGATGATAGTAGTGAGCATGGCCTCTTCAATTTTATGGATGCTCATTTTGGTTACAACCAAATTAAAATACTAAAGGATGATAAGGAAAAGATGGTCTTTATTACTAAAAAAGGCTTTTATTGCTATAAGATGATACATTTCGGACTAAAGAATGCAGGGTGAATATCAAAGGCTAGTAACTAAGCTGTTTAAAAATTAGATTGTCGTAATATGAAAGTATTTATGGATGATATAATGGTTAAAAGCAAGAGTTTGATCAAGCACCTGAAAGACCTTAGAGAGACGTTTAACACTTTGAAAAAATATAACACGAGGCTCAACCTGAGCAAATGTGCCTTTAGAATCATGTCAAGTAAGTTTTCAATTATATGATCAATAAAAAAGAGATAAAGGTGAATCTAAAAAAATTTAGACAATCTTAAACGTGAAGGCGTCGACCTTAATGAAAGAAATATAGAGGTTAACTAGCAGAATAGTCGCCCTAAGCCAATTCATGTCTAGGTCAGCAAACAATTTCAACCATTCTTTAAAATTTTTATAAATGTCTTTGACTTCAGGTAGACCCCTCAGTGTTACTATTGCCTACTATTAGAAGAGATACAACCGAACTAGTAAAGAGATGTGAGAAGTGTCCGAAGTTTGCTCATATGCAATATCTCTCATCGATTGAGCTTACCTCTATCATCAATTCATGGCTCTTCATGCAATAGGGAATGGATGTTCTTGGATCATTCACCCTAGTTATGGGTCAAAAGAGATTTATCTTAGTAGCAGTAGATTACTTCATGAAATGGCTTAAAGTTGAAGCCTTGGCCATTACTACAAAGGCCCAAATTAAAAAATTTATAAAAGAATATAGTCTGTAGATTTGGCTTACCTCGATCCATAATAATGGATAACGACAAACAATTTAAAAATTTGAGGTTTAAAAAATGGTGTTCAAATTTTCATATAGACCTTAGGTTTACATTGGTTGCCCATTTTCAATCTAATGAATAGGCCAAAGCTACGAACAAGATAATATTAGAAGCTCTAAAGAAGAAACTCAATATAGCAAAGGGAAAATAGGTCGATAAGCTACCAGTGGTGCTATGGGCCCTGAGAACAACCATGAAGGTACTAACAGGTGAAACTTCATTCCATCTAGCATTCAGAATAAAAGCCATGGTACCTATTAAGATCGACCTTCTAAGTTTGATAGTCGAATTAGGGTAAGAAGAAAGAAATGAAAAAGCACTTAGGGCTAACCTAAACCTCATCGAAGAAGAAAAGGACATAGTCTTAACATGAATAACAACTTATCAGCAAAAGGTAACCACTTATTTTAATAAAAAAATCCATCATAAGCACATAAAAAAGGGTGACTTGGTACCTAAAAAAGTTAAAACCTTAGGAGTAGATGACCGAGGTGATAAATTAGCCTTGACCTGGGAAAACTCATATGTAGTTAAAGAGATCTTATCCATGATGCGACCAACAAGCTACAGGATATGAATGGCAATGTTCTCCTAAGGACATGGAATGTAGATAATTTAAATATCTACTTTAAATAGCTCAATCTAAACTGAGCTCACACTTATATATTGTACTTCACTGCAGAAATCAAATTATGCTTAATAAGCTTATGACTAACTGATCTAACAAATCTAACCTAGAACTTAAATGGATTTTTAAGTTATTTTAATCCAAGTGATTAAGTAAATCCTTAGTTCAATTAATTGGTCTCAAATTTCTTTGATTAACCGTGCTTAAGCTTGGGCAAATAAAGAAAAAATTATAACAAAACTGAGCTAAAGCTTGGACTGAATTATACAAAAATTTTATTTCATTTTTTATCAAGTACAAAAGTTGTTTGTTAGGAAGGTCATTAAAATTCAAGGTCATTACAAAAATCGATCTTATACATTAACAAAAAATTTACAAAAGTTAAAAACAAAAGAATGATGTTTTGGTAACATCGACATCAATAGCAGCAAGAGTAGCTGGGAAAAAAAGTCATCATCAGAGCGTAGATGTGATGAGTTGAACACATGTTAGAATAATTTTTAGGATTTGCCCTGCTTTTAATTCGTTCATCACATCTTTGGAGATCATGTTGAGGTCATAGAGAATATATATAAGGATCTCGACCAATTTGTTTTCTTCGTAAGATTCCCATCATTACAGTCACTTTCCCCAACCAAGGTATTCCTTTATTCTTATACCTCCTTAGAACTTTCCTTATCAGAATCTTCACCATTAGAAGATTCTAACTCGTGAGAAAGACTAGGATTCTTAGATGAAATTGTGGCTGAGAGTAACTCAACTTTAAGGGAAGAATGATGAGATGAAAACCCTTCATAAGAAAAAGAGATCTCAATAAGAATTGATTGGCATGAAATGGAAGTGACAACAGAAGCATCGATAAGGAAAAAAGTTGAAGTAGAAGAATATTGATGAGATCAAACCCCAAAAGAGATAATAGCCAAAAATGAATGAAAGTCAGGCATAAAAATGGATCGACCTGAGAGATAAGAAAAGGTGGTGGATTCTATAAGTCAAAATCTATCTGAACATACAGTTCCTCAGTGCTCAAAATCTGTTATCCCCTTGCTCAAGCATTTTTTTTTCATTTTGTCGCTACCCTTCCTCGGACATCAAGTTGAACTAGAAGGTTATCTTCTCACAATTATGATTCTTAATGAATGATGAATTAGATTATCGTCATCTTGCCTGAGTTGACCCACATAGGTTCTACTTTGTAACTCCTGACCTCCCCAAAACTTACTCTAAAAGACATAATTAAAAATACATACTGAAAAAAATTTAAAAAAACTTTAAGACCGAAAAGCTTTTAAAGTGAAAAAATTTAGATCACATTGAGAGCAAAGAAACAGAAAGGTGAAAAACTAGAGCCCCAACAACCTTTTGTATAACTGTGCGATAGATCAAATAAACAACATAGATCATGCCACGCATCAAATTGAAGACAAGCAGATGATTTTTCATTTTCTTTGTCCTAAATTTTCAACTCAAATTATCTATTTCATCATTTAATGCCATTAGACCAATTAGACCGAACAAACCCTAAATTAGATCGACCAGACTGAATAAACCCTAGCTCGAATTGGTTAAACCAAACAACTCTCCGGAACAGATCAGATGCCCAGCTCATTGCCAAAGTTTAAAGTAAAGACCCAAATCCAAACTCTTGGAATAAAACATAAGTTTCACATTAACTAGACGAACTTTATTACTAACCTCGAATAATTCCGGACGATTAACACCTTGATGACCTTCAAATTGGCCATGCACTCAACTTAAGATGCATGCATAAGATCAAACCCTTACCAGATCGAACCACGACTCCAGGTTATGTATCTCCCGATATCGATTTCTTTCATGATGTCGGCTCCAAAAAATCACGTTTCACATCATCTTCCTTTACCTACCTAATCTACATGGAACATTCTAATCATATGTCGAGTAGTCTGATACTCATATTGCTTGATGGGAAGATAAAATGTTGAGTGCATTTATTGGTCAAAAGTGCATTTACTCAGATTTTTTCCATGTTAGAAGCCTTCATTAGATAACTAGGGTAATTTTGATATTTACGTCGACCTGATATGTCAGATCAGTCTAATATTTTTAATGCCATGTTAGCTCAACAGTGTCTTTATTGTCCCTTAATGATTTTTTATAATTTATCTATAAATATGAAGGTCTAAACACTATGAAGGTAACATATACCACTCTATCTTCTCCCTATTACTCTCATTTCGACCTCATTCTTTTTGACTTATGAGTTGAATGCAAATGCATGAAACACTTTCTGTTTTTGTCTCTAACCGTTTTTTTTTTTTTATCTTTATAAGAATATCTTGAGACCGAAACTCCCTGTAAATAAATACCTAAAAAAGACAATGGTGTCATTTATAAGGTTCCAGTGTTCACAATATTTCAACAAGTTGAAACCCCAATTTGATGTGGAATTTGCACTCGGGTGCTAAGTTAGGCCGCGTTCATTTTTTTTTTTTTTAAAAAGAACCCAAAGGAAAATACAAAAAAAAAAAAAACTCAAAAAAATACGTATATAAAATATTTTTTTTCTTATGATATTCTTAAAACATACAGGTTTTAAAAAGTGTCTTCAAATTTACAAATTTGATTCATATTTTGCAAGAGCTATAATCAAATTATGCCAATCACTTCCACTTTTTATTTTTCTTTAATTTAATCTGAATTATCTCAATTCTTTAGGTTTAGAGGGCAAGAATCCTTTTTTTTTTTTTTACATAATAAATTGCAACTTAAGATAAAAAAATTACATATGTTAAAATATAAATCTTAAATTTGATAAAATTTATTTTTAAAAATATAAATTAATTAAATTAAGTTATAAACTTAAAATCTAAAAATTTGCGGTCACAATAGAGAGCTCGCTAGCAAGTAGCAACTAGGAAGCAACTCACTGGTAAGGATGATACAATATCCAAGGTATTAGAACTAAAGACAAAGGGGCCAGGTCCGGCCAAAATTTTTCAATTTTCCAGAGAAAACCCGAGCTAAATTCAGCTAAAAAAACACAGAATCCTAAGTGATACGTTATTAATTGAATTTGGTATAACTAAAATTTGGCCTTCAAATTTTTTTTTTTTCATAAAGAAAAAGAAAAAAAAAGCTAAGGAAAATGACGATTGAGGATTATTATTTATTATTATTGTTATTATTGTCATCTGTTTCTCTCTGTTAGAAGAAAATAAAACTTTACTTTCCCCAAAAGGATTGCGGATATTTTTCCATTTACAGCAGACGAGAGAAAAATAAAAACTTTGAATTACGACCTATTCCCGCACGCCCCTCATCTCCCCCAATTTGGTGTCACCTTTCGCCCAGGCCCTCCCAAGTCCCCCCACGTGAACCCTTCTCTCTGCCCCATCTTCAGCTCCAAATTCCCATTTTTGTTTTCCTTCCATTCTTTACCTCCATCTTTCAACTCTGCACAGGCGGAGGTCATGGTATTGGTGGTTTAACTTCTTACATATAATTCCCATCTTACAAAATTCTTGGAGCTTCATTTAAGATACCCAACTTTGCCTTTTTTTTTTCCTTATTTCCCTGCATTTGGTTTGGTCCCATATTACATACATGTTGATTTTGGCTTTTAGTTCCATTGATCAGGACAATACCAGGGCAGACTTGGAGCTTGCTCATCTGAAAAGAAATTGCAAGCTTCATCCGTGCTGAAGAAATTATGCTCCTCAATCTTCACATATTGAAGGGGTTGATAGGTTGTTTTAGGCAACTGGAAGCAATTCATGGAGGATGTTGGAGAAGAAGATGAGTTGAAATTGAGTGAAGAGGTAGTCGTTGGCGACATCAAAAGGTGTTGGCTTGGTAGGACACCAGATGAAGAAACAGCCGCGTTGTTGGGGCTGTTGTTGTTGTCTTCATTCAAGATAGCGCTGGAGTCACTATCTGATGACCCGTCTTTCAAGTCTGCAATAAGGGTGGCGCCAACTGATCCATTGCTGTTGTTGAAGCTCTCATAGTTCAATTCTGCTGGCTCTGATGGGGTAGCCAGTGAGGAAACCGGAGGTGGTTCACTTTGTTCGAGTGCTTTAGTATCGTTACTTTCAGGTACAATCACCTCCTGCTTCACTGAAAGATTGCTCTTTGTGCTCTCTCCATTCAGCTTTGCCTTCAGCTCACTTATCTGCACCATCAACAGAAAAATTAGACACTATTCTAATCATACCAAAGTTAAAAAATGTGGAGAAAATAAGTGAATTATTATTACCTCTTTGAGAAGAGCTTCATTGTCATGCTGGAGGGTATCATAATTGACCTTAAGAGTTTCATAACTGGATTTGAGAAGGCCATAATCCCTTTCCAATTGCTTGGTCTTCCACCTAGCACGTCGGTTTTGGAACCAGACAGCGACTTGGCGAGGTTGCAAGCCAAGTTCTTGAGCTAGTTTCATTTTCCTCTCAGGTTCAAGTTTGTTTTCAACCTCGAAATTCTTCTCCAAGGCCTTAACTTGATCTACACTTAACCGCCTCTTCTTCTCAGCAACATGGCCTGATTCTTCCACACAGCCTTCTTCATCTAATCCATCTAACATCGACTGAAACTCTCTACTGTATATATGGTTGTTTCTTGGACTATGTTCATCTGTAACAAAAGAAAACAAATAGACAATTAAGATACTAAAACAGGGTATTATGCAAAAAAAAAAAACTGAAATAAACTTGGTTTCATATATTGAATGTGAATTCAAGATTGTTTTTTTTTTTTCTTTGGAGTAATTGAATTATGAGTGAAGAGACAAGAAAATTAAGTGAAGTTAAAATTGGGATTGTTTTATTAGACCTGTTGTTGGGCAGATGGACATCAAAGCACCCAAGGAATCTGAGCTGCCAAGTCTCTTCATGGTTGCTGATGAAAGGAACACTCTTTAAAAACAGATATCTTCTTCTTGTTTTAAAACTACTGATCTTTAGTATTTGCGTAGGTGTGTGGTTGTTTTTCCTTTTTGTTTTTGGTCAGATCTTTTTTTAAGTGGTCAAGGGATGCTGTAATAGAGATGCAAGATTGTATCACTTGCAGAAAGAGTAACTCCCTCGTCTAAAACAAGACCAACTTGTACGAGGCTGTAGTAGTTTACAACTGTACAACAAACACTGCCCTCTCTTAATAACTTCCCCATCATCTTTCTTCTGCTTCTTCAACACTGTTTCTTCCCTCGTCTCAGTTCCCATCCAAAGTTAGAAACCAAAACCCAACAAGCCAAACTTCCAAGAAAACCAAAAAATAAAAAACATATGAACACCCCCACTCCCCAAAACCCAAACCAACAAGATCAGAAGAAACTAGAAATTCTCCTTTTCTTTACATCATTACTCAATCAAATTACAATAGTCTAATACTGTTCATCTAGAAAGAGAAACAAAAAGTTCTTTTTTTCAAGTAAGAGAGAAGAATTAAAAGATTGAGGGAAGGGACTTTTCAGAAATCAGAACCCGGCAGGCCTAACCAGTTTCTCTCACTTTAAATAAACTAAGATGGGTCACATTGGGGTTAGAATCTGACTAGGATTAGTTACACTGAGCAAGGTTGGGAAATGCAAATGAACCCAAAATTCAATCCAAATGCAACTTTTTTAGTTTGCCGGTTTTCGAAACTTTGTTTTTTTTCTTTTCTTTCGGTGGGGTATAAACTGTAAAAAATATTAACGTTGAAAGCGGTGGTAGGGCTCGGCTTATAACGGCTTGGCGCTGTTTTTTCCCCTTTTTTTTTTTTTCTTTTAGCTTTAGAAATTCGGTCGGTGCGATTAATCGCCGATCCTCTCGATAGTTTCTTCTACATTTTTTTTTTTTAAATTTCAATATAAATACAGTCTTTTCTCAGTATATAAAAAATTCCATTACTCATGTAGCTATTAATGTAATATTGTAAAACTTCTCAATTTTTTAGAATATTGGTATAATTTTTTCTTTGGTTCAATTTTAACTTTAATAAATACTACATTTTATTTCATTGATTGAATTTGTATATTTTCTATGGATAAAGTTATTTTTTAAAAAAGGAGATTGAAGGTATGAAAAAAGAATTACATATATTCATATTTAAAGTTTAAATTTATTAACTATCATGTAATGGTATGAATCGATTAAATTATATTTATATTTATATTTGATTTGATGCCCCTAGATCCTAATAATTTTATACGAGTTCATTTTTTAGAAAACTCAAACTTTATAAAAATTTAATTTTACTAAAGTTTAGTATGTATGAATTATAAGAGAAAATTATTAATATTTAGCATATTATAACATGCAAATATGATTAGAATGATGTAATGTGTAACACTATCTCTCTTTTTTCTTGTATATAAAAAATTGTTATCTCCTCCTTTTTGTTTACGTTAGATTAATTTAGAGTAAGTACTCAGTACATTATCTTGAATTCATATCTATAACAATGCACAATAGTTTTTTAAAGATAATATTCAAATAAATTCTTGAATTTAATTAAAATTTGCATCTTTTATCTCGTGACATTAAGATCATAAATTTTTTTTTTATATAATAAGAACCTTGAAGTTAAAAAAAAATTTATTTTTCGCTAAAACTTTTTTGGTTGGCTCATGTAATTTATATATAAAAAAAAAATGCTAACTTCTATTTATTTGGATAAACTATTATTTGACAAATATTTGCAGAAATACTATTTCAATGGTTCTGACAATTAAATTTTATTCATCTATTGCAAATTTAATGAATATAATGACAATGAAATAAAATGTTTATAATCTTAATTCCATATAATAAAAGATTGAGGATTCATTTTTATTTTTTTTAACTTAAACAAAAACATTGTCCTTATTTAGCCAAAGGAAAATTGAGTACAATATTAATGTCTGGATGCAAAGCTTCAAGGCAAAGTTGGTTAACCTTAGCTTTTTCAACTCTTTCACCTATATGTAATTATGGAGAGACCTTAAAGGTTCACATTGCGGCAATTGCATTTTCTTATGTGTTTTTTTTTTTAAATATATATAATTTAAAAATTAAAAAAAAAAAGAATTAGAATAGCTAACATTTAAATATTAAATTTGTTATACACCACCTTCTTTTCTTGCATGCCTTTCAAAGGCAAAACCTCAAGCTCAAAATTATACTTTATGTTTTCTAACAAGAAAACTCTTTAGGGTGAATTGAGTACAATATAACACTTGATTATATAGGTTTTGCTGCTTATATATTTGTTTGAATGTCATTTTCAATTCATATAAACAAAAGTTTATAGATGGAACCAATCATTAAGAAAAGAAATATATATAGTTTTGAACCTGAGGGTTGTTGTGATCACAGTTCAGTCTTCATTCTCTTCATTTTTTTCTTCTGGATTCAAAATCTATCCCATATATTTTTGAAGTTGATGTAATCCGTATTTAAGAGTTATGGTTTTTTCAAGCAACTATGGAATTTGATTATGCATATGTGTAGATAGGCCTAACAATTTAAAATATGACATGGTGGTGTGAAACAAAAACTATATGAATAAAAGATATGATAATGATATGATTTAAAATTTTAATAAAAATCATAAATAAATTTAACAAAATAAAAAAAAATTTATTTTTTATATCGACACGAATTATAACAAGTAATTTTTGTATAAAATATAATATAAATATATAAATTATTAGTATTTTATATTATATAAATACACGAATTGTGAGATTTATGTTTAGATCACAAATAAGTATAATTTATCCTATGATTAAATTTAATCATCAGTTAAATATTTATAAATAAATTAAGTGGATATCTCAAAAGTTAGAATTTAGAATTTTAAATTTTAAATTAAAATTTTGAGTCATGAAAATATAATACAAAATTTAAGAAATTATTAAAGATTTTTTGAACCCTAATTTTCAAAATTTGTCCGATTTACATAACGTTTGAGTTAATGCTCAATTGACTCAATTTTTGTTGTTGAGGTTTTTTTTTTTTATATATACATAAAGAACGGAAATCTGCTTATACTAATGCTCCATTGGCCAAAGTAAAAAATAGGCTTTAGGCTTTGCGACTATCTAAATATCATCTTGCATTAGTCTATTTACAATGGTAAGAGAAAAATTGTTAATTATCATTGTCTTTGAAACAAATTCTAGTTCACAAACCTAATGGAGAAAACACGAAACAAGTATTTACCTTTTTTTTTTTTACCAAAGAAACAAGTAATTACAAATTTATTGTTCTTCTATTATTATTATTATTATTATTATTATTATTATTAATGAAACTTGTTGCTTACCACAGTTAGTACCTCACCCCATCTTTTATGCTTGCAACCTTTGACCTACAAGATACCAAATCAAATATTTTCAGTATCAATGGCCAACAAGAATGAATAGCTAGCATTCTCAATAAATTTACTTTGTTAAATTAAAAAAGAAAAAGAAAAAGGACCTTCTAATTGGAAGTAAAAGCTAGGGTTGCAATTAATGATTCCTACTGTTTAAAATCACTGCAAGGAACTCTTTAAGAATAAGAGCAAAATAATTACCACTATGAACATGAAGGGAAAAAAAAAAAAAACTTTGGCAGATCCACTGTTTCAACTCTTGTTAGTTGGAAAAAAAAAAAAAAGAAAAGAAAGAACAATTAATAGAGTACTAAACTCTTAATTTTATTAATCAGAATTGAAATCTGTATAACATCTAAGTAAAAAAAAAAAAAAAAAACATGGACAGGATGGTATAATTGCACAATCTCTAGCTTTCTTCTCAGTAAGATCATATTGATAAAAGAGGAACATTCTTCATTCTTGGGAGAGACTTTGGTTTCTTTACCTTGGATATGTCACAGGGCCACCATAAAGAATCAAAATGATGAGGCTGTAACCATTGTGGCTAAGTGAAAGCCAAGAGCTAGGCCCTGGTAAAGATGGCCCACAGGGCCCAGTAAAAATGGGAACAAAAGTTTATGATGGGAATTGGAGGGTATCATCAATTTCAGAGCACAAATCTGATAAACAAAACCTCACATACAGCCAAAAGATTTGAGCTCCAAAACTGACAACAATTTCATCGTTGATAAATCTATTCAATGATAAAGAAAAAAAAAAATGCTTAACAATAAATCTCATTCACCTACAGTCAGCCACGGTGATAACCAGCAGTTCTGAATCAATAACAAGCAATATCGAATTCCCTTTTCCTAAAATGTTTGAAGTTTGATGCATTTTTCAATACATCTTGAAAGCAAAGGATGTTTGATCATACTGATCCATTAGATGACTCCTTGTGGTGAAGAAGAATTGATGAGTTCTTATCACAGAAAGCTCCTGTATTGTCAATTTTACACCAAGTGAAAGGAAAATAAGCACATTTCCCCCAAAGCTGTGATAAGCAAAGCACAAGTGGGAATTTACCTGCAGCATGGCCATCAAAGGATGGGGAGCCCACCACCATGAAAAATTGGTTGATACTATACAAAAAGTGGGACAGGAATTATTTCTTTGATGAGAACAACACGTGTGAGTTGGGTTTCTTGGGTTCTCGAGTTTCAAAAGAGCCCCACAGAAAGAAGAAAAGATGAGTTGTGAGCATGTGAGAACTGCTAAATTCTCACATAAAAGTTCTTTTTTTTTTTTTGAAAAAAATGCTCTGTACCCATGGAAAAATGGCATATAAAAAAAAAGCTGACTGCTATGATGCCAAGATGGTCCATGGAACCTCAGTTACATACAAAGATGTAATGGAAATGTTGCAGAAAGCTTGAAAATAAAGAAATTGAGTTTTAGAAACAGTGCATCCTGCAGTCAAGCGAGAAGCGATTATTGATAGACTCTTGGAATGATTTAGGATACTGCTCGCAGTAAAAAGCTAAAAGCAGCATGACTCAAACCTAAAATCCCCATTCAAATCTCCATCTTGTGTATATGTTTTTGACAATTCTTATTGGTAGATACAAACTTCCAATCAATGGAAAAATATATGCTAGACCTGTAGTATCCATGTCAAAAAACCATTGATCTAGTTCCATGGAACTCAAGTTGAGTGGCAAAGAATGGAAGCTTAAACTATATGGGGGAAACTTGAGCCAGCAGGAATGAGTATGGGACAACATTGATTGGTGTCGCTGACTGGTGCAAAAATTCCCACAGAAAATTGTTGGTTTTAATCTACTCATCATTGATGTATGGACATATTGATAAGGAGCACACAGGTTCAAAAGCACGTTAGCTTCTTGATTTGGGTAATGATCACTCTTTGAAGAAAATTACAAAAAGGAAAATGGCTGCAGATAAATGATTAATTTTCCCCCGAGAATATGGTACTTCATCAAAGGACCATAACTTGCAGTCTAGTCATGAGTCATAGAGTTATCAGCACATATCCAAAACAGGAACAAAGGAAAATGGCATATACCCCAAGTTTATACGTGGCCACAACGTGAATTTCCCAACACTATCTCCCCAAACAGCTCAAGTTTTGGTCTTCTTTTCAACTAAAGTTAATAAGCATACGGAACAGTGAATCCGGTCAGAAACTCTCAGGCAAGGCACTGCCATACCTGTTTGGAACTGATCAAAAAGTATCCTGCAACTGCAAAACATTTCTATTTGAAGAATACAAAAAAAAAAATATTTG